CTGCTCCAGGCTGGGAAGCTGAGGGGGGTGTTGACTGGGCTGCGAGCTCTAGCCGCTCCCGCTGACACCTGGGCTGGCGAGTCTGGTAACCCAGATTCCGGCGTCAAATGGTAGATATCGAATTCGTTCGTTTTGTGATCCGTGCAGACCCGGCGGGAGTTAATCGAGGAAAGCGTGTTTTTTGTCACTTTCTTTTTTAACCCGCGAACAGAGGAAAAAGAAAAACCGATCCATAACATTCAATTGCATTATTCGCTCTTAGCCGTGTGCGTCACAATTGAAGAAACCGCTCTATATCACGTCCCCCATATTTCGTCCTCCTTACTCTATTTCCTATCCCCCCCAGCACAATCGGGGAAAGAAGAACGTGGTTTCGATCTGGAACGGAAACGTTTTCCACATCCTTTTTTTCATGGTTTCCGTTCTCAACTGCAGCCTGTCACACAATCTAATCATATGGGAGAATCTGGTGGGGTGTTTTTTTTACAAAGATATCTGCAAAGAGAAAGGTTGGAAAGACTCGATGGAACAAAACATTGACTGGCACTTATGAGGGAAAGATACCCAAATTTCATAACATTAATGTATGCCGAAATTTGGGGGAAAGCCCTGTGCTGTCAAGAAAAATGGACGTTACTTAATCGTTGTCTCATGTTTTCCCTTTCCTTTCTTCTTGTGTTGCCCCTTTTTCTTTCCCAAATCGCGTGTACTGATTTCTGCATTTTTCAAGTTCTCAGTTGTTGTCTGGCTGTTGTGTAACTACGAAGCACCTTGAAAAGAAGCATTGCGTCACACCTCTTCATCTCCAGTATGGACTCGTATTTATATTTCTCTTTCTCGTGCCGCATGCAGCAGGTGATTATTTCGTAATATGTTTTAACACAGGATTTGTCCCATCCTAAAGTTTCTGCCAGAGAGACCATAAGCCCTCTTAAAATCGGCTGAGAGGCAGTATTTCCATGCATTTCGTCATTGTACAATTCCTGGTACTACGCTTTATAGCCAGTAATAAGGTTCAACGTTAGTTACGAGAGAGATAAGCTCGTTTCTATGATGATTTTCATTTGAGTAGCTAGTCATTTACAACGGCCCGATAACTATTTCTAGGAGCTTCTATCAATCCTGTAAGTGTAACTTTTGATTTTACTTTCACAGCATTGGGACGCAGCGGAAACAAGTAGAAATATTTGGTGGGGTTGGACGCAGGCTCTCTTTGTTTAAGTACTTCTTGGGAACTTGGGCAGTATTTGATGTTGAGACTCCTTCACTCCTGCTTGTTTACAAGCCCAGAAACGATTGACAGGGACATAAATTATTAGCATACCCCGCCCGAACTTTTCCTACCGCCTAGGACTATTGAGCAGAAGATGGAGCTATATCTTTGATATTGCGAAACCAGTCGTCCTCTTCGTCCAAACCCCTTCTCCCCTCGTCACAGTCTGGGTCTACACACGAGACAACGAGGAGTGTATTTCAAAAAGGGGCTTGTATGGATAATGACCAATCTCCCTAACTATCCAAACGAATATCAGGCGCAAGGTCTCCAAAGAGCGGAGGACCTTCGAATACAGTTCCCTCGAAAAAGGCAGAAACCCACGCATTCATTCCTCTCCAGCTTGAGCCAGTGTTACCTAAACCCACCAGAGAACC